CCTTTGCATAGTTTTCGATCTTCTTGATGTCCTCGGCATCAAATTCGTCTTCGGTCTTTGGGACCGTGGTTTCTCCCACTTTCTTCATAGGGATTTCTTCGCCATTTTTGATCACCAACCACAATTGGAAGTTGGTGGAACGAATATAGATTCTCATCCGTTCCTTCCAATAAGAGTAGTTGGTGCCATCAAAGAGTGGTGGCCTAGAGGTTGATTGTCCTTCTCTAATTCCTGCATAGAGATTTCTAGAAGAAGAGCCCATGATCGCTTTACTCTCAAACGGTTAAGTTTGGACGCGAGTTAGGCTCTGATACCAATTGTTAGAATAATAGACCAACGCTAGAGGGGGGGGTGAATAGCGTTTGATCAAGAAATCGCAGGAATAAAAATGAATAAGCGAGAAGTAAAGAGAAAAGAAAGAGGCACACTGATTTTACCCTGGTTAACCACAACTTGTGGCTAATCCAGCCTCCCGAGAGACTCTCTCGAGCTACACTACTATCTCGTTAAGCTTAACGGTGCTTAACAAACCCTTACAACTTGAGAATTCGAGTCACACGAACCTCAACGAACCTTCGAAGGAAACAACCCTTCCTTCGAACAACAAGAGAAATACCTTCTCTTGTCAAGTGTCTAAGAACACAAAAAACACTCAAGAACAATACTCTCTTTTTAGAGTGGATATTGAGTAAACTAAGAACGCTCAAGAACACAACATAAGCTTCACAAAAATGGCTCTCAAAAGCTATGAATAATTAAAGAATGATTTGCAATGAAAGAGTAAGAGTTGTGAAGTAATGTTATGTTTAAACCAGACCCAAACACCCCATTTTATAGTAGAAAAATAGGCTCCAACGGACCAAAGTATTTAAGGGGTGATTGGCATAATTTGTGGGATTTGATGAAATTTGGATCAGTTGAAAATCACCCAGACAGCGCTGTCCTAGGCCTGGACATCGCTGTTCTAGGCTTGCAGTTTGAAAAATGGGAAGCAACGGTCATGCCAACAGCGATGTCTAAAATCCCTACATCGCTGTTTTGGCTGTTGACTTCCAAACAAGGAAAGTTTTAGCCTTAAATTCCTTCCAACGGTCAGGTCTCTACATCGATGTTCTATACTAGAACATCGCTGTTTAGGTCTGCCTTTGGAGATGGAATTTTGGCCTGACAGCGCTGCTGCTGGGTCAACATCGTTGTCCAAAAACTTTCTGCCAATGCACTATATTTTTGGCTTAGGTTGGACAGCGCTGTAGGGAAGCCTACATCGCTGTTCCAGAAGTTTATGGAAATCCAACCTTGGCTCAACAGCGATGTCTAGTGTCCAACATCGCTGTTGGAAGACTTAACGCCAAACCATGTTTTTAGCTACCCAGGCCAGACAGCGCTGTTGATTACCTCAACATCGCTGTTGGGCTGGTTTAGCCAGACCCATGGTTGGTTTAGTCACGCCGTTAGACGATGTCAAAAACGCAAGTTCTCCAAAATAAAAACCAAGTTTAGAAAACATTTGTTTATTGCAATTTGCTAAGAAATCAAGTAAAACACCTTAAAAACCACATCATTTAGTTGAAAACCACGGCTAGCCAAGTTCGCGCCGTTTCGCATGGTTTTCACTCAACGACCAAAAACGGGAGGTGGTTTTCGAGGCGTTTTTGTTGGAGAACTATTTAAATATTCCCAGAAGTAAAAATCAGTCATAAAAAGTTGAAAAACACTTGGTTGGTTTGAACGCCAAAAACCAATGCCGAAAACCGATAGCCGAACGCCGGTTTCTGAAAACCGAACGCCGGATGGCTTGGTTTTTGGTTTGGGCGAACCCCAAGTGTTTTGAGCCAAGTTTAAAACTAATGAAAAACATTTTTTGAGTTTGTAAAAAGAGTTTTGATGAAATGAGCCTAGAGAGCCAAGATTTGGAATTTTGTGCCAGTCTTGATCACATTAAGACCGACTCAATACAATTCTAGTTCTTCGTTCTTGATTCTGGGTTCTTGGATCTCGAGTCATCATGCCATGTTCCTTTGCCTTGGTTTTTGTTCTCTTTAGCCTTGTTATGTCACGGCGGTTTGGCATTATCAAAACCTGTCATAGAAACGAACACAGTTTAGTACGACGTAGGCGTAAACTTGTGTTCCATATATATATATATATATATATATATATATATATATATATATATATATATATATATATATATATATATATATATAAGGGCCGGTTCCCGTGAGAATGCACCTTGTGGAGAGAAATGAGAATAAAATCTAATTGATGCATTTGAGATAGTGCATTTTCGAAGGTTTATGATGCATTTCAACGTGATGCATTTTCGCACCATTTTGGTGCATCTAATTTTGATGAAATCTTGACCCTTAGATCTCACAATCTAAAGCACCAGATTCATTCTCATTTCTCTCCTAAGATTGCATTCTCACCAGAACCAAAATATATATATATATATATATAAAATTCTCTCTCTTCTCATGCCGGCCACCACCTCCGGCGGAGGTCCTGCTACGGCACCTCCGGCGACAGCAAACACCACCACTCCTGCATCCATAACCCCTCCCCCAAAATCTTTTCTCCAAGCACTTAACGTTCGGCCTTCCTCCTCCAATCCTCCATCCATCACTACAGATACTCCTCCAGAGAAATATAAGGGACTTCCCTGCGTGGCCTTCACTGATGAAGAGGTTCTACTACTTGCCAGCAGATTCTCAAGAGCCCTTGTGGGTACCTTTTATTATGGTAGACCTAGCATGCAGTTTATTCGTCAATGTATGGAAAAAATTGGCTTCAACGACTTCTCGGTGGCTCTCATCGACAACATGCATATCCTTCTGAATTTCTCAAATGAAAACGATTTCCATCGTTGCTTTAAGAGGCAGGACTGGAAAATAGGAAGCTTCCAAATGCGCATTTCCAAATGGACTCCTGACTTTGATCCAAGGTATGAATCACCTATCTTACCTATATGGATATCTATCAAGGACTTACCAATTCATCTTCACTCCAAACCCTCCCTTATGAGGATAGGAAACATTTTTGGTAAGCCCCTGAAAATAGATGCTACCACAGAAAATTTTGGACGTCCCTCTATTGCAAGAGTTTGTGTGGAGGTTGATATCTCCAAACCTCCTCCAACCAAGTTCTATGTCATGAATGGTTCAAAACCACTCCTCCTAACAGCCATGTTGGAAGAGCTACCAGATTATTGTGGGGAATGTAGGGGTGTGGGCAGGCACAACAAAGACTGCAGAGTAGCAAAAAATAATCCTGAGCAGAACCCATCCCAAGGTCAAGCCCCAAAACCCATCCTTCTTTCGGGGAAGGATAACCGGAAAATACCCCAAGGAAACAACCAGCAGCACCACTCCAAAAGAGACTTCCAAAAAATTCCACCTCAAACTTCCAACCAGACACTACAGGTCAAAAAAACAGCCCTTCCAAAGAACCCTACTGAAAGGCCCAGCAACAATAATACATTCACAATCCTCCAAACTGTCCCTGATAATAGCACTACCAAACACAACCCCACATCCTGTGCTAACCCCCCACCCAAGTCAAATTCCACCCCCACTAATCCTACTACCTCAGACTGCCCCAATACAGCACCCACCCCCGTCTCTTCCAGCAACCCAATTATCACAACCACTCCCCAACCCATTAGCAAACATAAATCACAAAACCAATCTTTAAACAGCAATCAAGAGCCTCCCAACCAAGACCACCCCCACCCCCTTTTACATGAAAATTTCCTTAGTGAAGAGGACTGGGAAGTTCTTCATCACAATGACATCTTTGCCAAATGCCTCATATCCTGGGAAGAAAATCAGCCTCCCAAGCTTCCACCCATGGAACCCATGGATTCTCAAATCCTCTCCCTGGATGACCTGCATCTGGAAACAGAAAACCTTGCCCTTACCCCCATTTACATTTCTGATTCTGATGTCCAAGACAAAGTCAGGTCTTTAAAAGCCATGCCTAACCCAAAGCCACCAGAACCTCATACCACTGATCAAACCACCCCTCTGCAAACTTCACCTGAGCACTCCCCTTTGCTTGACCAGGAACCAGAAAAGAAAAACACTGAATCTGAGGAACCAGCACATGAACAGCCCTACACAACAGTGCAAAGGAAATCAAAAAGAATTCAGGAAAAAAAATCCTCACAAAGTCTACAACAACTGGTTAACCAATGAATTTGCTCTTTTGGAATGTTTGTGGGCTTCCCTCTAAAATACAGAGGCTAGCCATCCTCATCACCACTCACAAAATTTCTTTCCTAGCTATCATGGAACCCAAAACCAATAAAAAAAACTGACACACTACCAGCTCTCTCTAGGCTTCACTCACTCCCTTGCTACCAAAGACAACAGAACCTGGGTAATGTGGAAAGATGACATGCCCAATTACCTCTTCCACCAGGAAATGGATCAGGTGATTAATGTCCACTTCACCCATCAAAAAAAGCCTCTCACAATTTCCTCTGTTTATGGCAAATACACTCTTACAGACAGACAAAGCCTTTGGGAAAGTATTCATGCAGCTGGGCTAAACCTCAATGACCCTTGGATAATTGGGGGAGACTTCAACTGCATCTCATCAGTTGACCACCACAAAGGCAAGAGTTCTCCATGCCTTAATAGCATTCAGGACTTTGACAAATGTATCATGGACAATTCCCTCATCTCCCCTAGCTTTACAGGCAATCCTTTCACTTGGACAGGAGTGAGGTCTTTGGGAAGAATATGGAAAAGGCTTGACAGAATCTTCCACAACAACCATTTACTTAACTCCTTCCAAGAAATAAATTCCATCCACCTCCCCAGAGGCACATCTGATCACACTCCTATCCTGGTCAAAGCTCTTAACACTATCTATAGTGGACCTAAACCTTTCAGGTACATCAACTGCTGGAGTTCTCATAACACCTTCATCAGCACTGTTAAGGACAATTGGGAGCCTTATTCAGGGGGAGGAATGAGAGGTCTTGGAGAGAAGCTCAAGAATCTCAGCTTCACCCTACAAGCTTGGAACAAAAATATTTTTGGTAACATTTTTAATAGGGTGAACCAACTGGAAGAAGCTTTGAAAGACTTGGAGGATCAATTTGACACTGACCCTACCCCTGACAATAGAATGAAGATGAATGAAACCAGGGCAAAACTCACTCAGGCCACCCAACAAGAGTACCTCTATTGGAAGCAAAAGGCAAATATTAAATGGGCAAAGGAAGGGGATGCCAATACCACTTTTTCCTGGGAATCCATATTCCCAAAACCCTGGCCCAAACCACCATCATCCTCATACCCAAAAAGGAAAACCCCCAGAGATGTGAAGATTACAGGCCTATTTGTCTTTCTAATTTCAGTTGTAAGATTCTCTCTAAAATCTTGGCTCAGAGGCTGAGCAACCTTCTACCTAAAATAATATCCCAGGAACAGGGAGGCTTTGTGAAAGGAAGGGCGATTCATGATCAAGTACTCCTAGCACAGGAATTATTCCATGGTCTTAACTACAAATCTAGGGGAGGAAACCTTGCCATTAAACTGGATATGTCCAAGGCCTTTGATAGAATCTCTTGGGATTTCCTATTTTCAGTTCTTGGACACTTTGGATTCAGCAACACCTTCATAACCCTCATTCACAATCTGCTCCAAAGCTCTCACTTCTCCATCATGGTCAATGGATTTCTCTCTAAAAGCTTCAAACCTAAGAGGGGGCTCAAACAAGGAGACCCACTCTCTCCCCTTCTCTTCATCCTTGCCTCTGAGGCCTTCTCCAGAACCATCAAGGCTGAAACTAACTCTGGGAATTTGTCACCCTACTATCTGGGAAGGCACTACCTCCCCATCACCCATCTTGCTTTTGTTGATGACCTTATCCTATTCTCTAATGGGAGCTCCCTAAACACTACCTGGATCATGCATCTGCTTAAAGATTATGAAGCTAGTTCAGGTCAACAAATAAACCTGGACAAGTGTTCCTTTTTTACCCCCAAGAAAACCCCAACAGCAACCTTGAGGAGAATGAGGAACACTCTGGGAATGAAAAGAGGTACTCTCCCATTCAAGTACCTAGGTGTGCAGATTCATCTAGGCATCAACAGGAAACAATATTGCACAGGCCTCTTAAATCAGTTTGATAACAAACTTAAAGGTTGGTACAAGAATCTTCTAAGTCAAAGTGGAAGACTGACTCTCATCACACATGTCCTTAACACCATCCCCCTTCACCTCCTTAGCTGCAGCAAACTCCCCAAAAGCATTATCAAAATCCTCCACTCAAAAATGAACAACTTCCTCTGGGGTCAAACAAAAGAGAAGAATAACCATCATTGGACCACCTGGGAGAAAATTTGCTACCCTAAGGATGAGGGAGGACTAGGATTGACAGACTTGAACACCCTACAGAAAGCTTATGGCTTAAAGATGTGGTGGACCTACACTCAAAACAGCTCTCTGTGGGCACATTTCATGAGAACAAGATACCCAAGGGGATTGGATTCTGCACCTCAAATCATTGACTCTATCTATTGGAAAAGGCTTTATGAGACTCACATCACAACTCATAACCACCTATCCATTGATGAGCATGACAGGCTTATATGGCACAATGGGGAGGTTGGTTTTAGCATGAAGAAGGCAAAGAATTCTTTGAGAGAGAAAAACCCCATTCACCCTTTCACTAAGCTCTCCTGGGGACCTAAACAGAGAACTAAACACTCTCTTTTCCTATGGAAGCTCTACTTTGGTTATCTTCCCCTACCCCAATCACTAACAAAAATGGGTTTTCAAACACCCTCCATTTGTTTTTTGTGCAGGAACAGTGAGGAAAGCACCAACCACCTATTCATGAACTGCCCCTATAGCAAGCAGATATGGACAAACTTTGAGCAAACATTTTCAGTTTGCCAAAACACAGCACATGGAATCCTAGTCTAGTCTACTTGACTAACTGGTGGAAACAAGGAAATCTACAGAAACACAACAAAAACATCTTCAACATAGTCCCAGGAATCATAGCGCACGAGATATGGAAGGAAAGGAACAGAAGAGTCCATGAGGAAGAAGAACTCAGTACCACACAAGTAATCAACAACATCACAAAGCAAATCTACGAATGGATTGTAATTCATCACAAAGGAGACAATCAAGGGATTATCAAAATGCACTTTAACTTACCCACAATTAGGATGGGAGCAATCAAGGTCCTCCGCTGGGAACTGCCAGACACTGGAATCATTCTAACCACCGACGCAGCAATGAGGAATGGAAGAGCAACAGGAGCTTGCATTATCCGATCTAACAAAGGAGATTTCCTCACTGCTTGGACCTTCCCCCTACGCGCAGACCAGCCAGCAGAAGAAACGGAGATGGAAGCGGCATATGAAGGAACCAGAAGAAGTTTGTACCTTGACTCAAAAGTCAACTTGTACACAGACTCAAAAGTCTGCGTAAACAGAATTACTAGTGATGACAACAATGACTTCTTTACGACTTTGACCGAGAGCTCATTAATAAATCTGGAGGACGAGTCAACCATATCTACCGAGAGGCAAACATGGCGGCGCATCATTTGGCACAACACGCAATGGAGAACAACTCTTTCAATTTCTTTCACTCGTTTTCTACACTCCCAAAAAAAGTTCGAGGAGCTATTAAATGTGATGTAACAACACCTTTTATTCGTCTTAAATAAAACATCTTACCCCAATTGTGTGTGTGTGTGTGTGTGTGTGTGTGTGTGTGTGTGTGTGTGTCAAATAACACGATGATGATGTTACAGCAGATATGGTACCAGTATAAGCAAAGTAACCAACTGCTACATGTAACGATAACCGAAGTCATTTTTTAGTCGTACTCTACTCGTTCCGATGATAAAACTTAGTCTTTAATTTAAGAATAACAGAAAGTAATATTTTGGTTTTCACAATTCATCCATTGCTCTCGCTGTCCATGTAATAACACTATATAATATCCTTGATCTTTGTTCTTTTAAAAAATTTTATGTGAAATTTGGTATAGAATATCAGAAACTATATCAAAACATATACAAAACTAGATATGACACAAATTTATTATTTTATCAAATAAATAACAAACATTATTCAACAAAATCGTAGGAGTTTGAAAAAAAGTAAATTGAACAAGGAGTTCATTTCTAAAACTAAAAACTTTACATTTTTTTTACTACTCCCTCCGTCCCAAAATATTCTTTCCATTTTTATTTTTGTTCCGTCCGGAAATATTCTTCCCATTTCCTTTTTTAGTATACTTTTAAAGATAAAATTCAATAATATCTTTTATTTCGGAAAGTATGTGTATTTTTTTAAATCAACACGGGAAGAATATTTCCGGACGAAAGGAGTATTTTTTAAAAAACTTGTCAAATCTACTATGTACATGTGAAAAAAAAATAGAGAATATTCTTTTTAAAACTTTTAAAATTTTTGCCAAAATATTGGCCAAATTCTACTACTCTGTACGTGGCAAAATTTTGGCAAAGAAGGGGCGAAAACTTTTAAAAATTTCGCTAAAACCTACCATTTCCCAAGCATACTCCCTCTAAAATTTTGGCCAAAATATTTCAAAAATTTCATCCACCCTCCAAAATTAAGCTGGAAGCTCACCACGTATCTTTTGTTCCTGTACCTCCCAAAAACCGAGAAGGCCTCCACAAAATAACTTCACCTAATTCAATCAATTCATCCACTCTACTTTGAACTTCAATCCCTACCTCCCGTCGCCTCCTCACTCAACCTTCTTCTTCGATTCACTTCCCTCTGCTATACTAGAGCCATAACCTACCGTTTTTGCCGACATAGGAGCTCAAAACCCTAAAATAAGGTAAGTCGTAAACCTCAAATCTGGTATTCCCTCCAACAATAGTCACCATATTTGTTTTCCCAATTTTGTCGAATTCTTCTTGGCCTCTTCTTTGCATGCGTCTACCTCGCTGCTCAGATCCCCCCAAAGAGGTCAGGGTTACATTTCTCAATCCATTGAAGTCACAATTCATTGGTTTGTTGTTATTCTTTTTAATGTACTATCTATAAAGGCTTGCTTCCAGAAAGGGTTGAACCAGAAAGGGTTCAACCAACTCCTTAATTCGTTGAATGTGACACAGAGAGCAGCAATAATGAACAATTTTTTTTCTAGAGTCAACTCAATACTCCTTCCATCCTTTTTTAAAAATATTTAAAAAAATATTAATCTTAATATGTTTTTTATCTCAATATTTTGGTACAGACCTTTGTTGTTTGTGTAATGCTTGACATCAAATTTATTTTACTGTTTTAGTGTCCCTTATCACAAACTGTACTCCTGAAAATTCAACTAAAAAAATGAATGTGATAACCCACCTACAAATTGAGGCAGATCCCAATTTTTCATTATGCGCAGCATTTATTCGATATATACCTTATTTTATACTGAAATGTTTGATCTTCACTCACTTTCAGAATATGGCCAGCACTCAACAGAATGCGCAGGCTGGATGTGCAATCCAAAAACCAATTCTCCGATCCTCTCCAAGGCACAAGAAACCTGAAGGTCTTTCAGACCGTAATGAAATGCAATGTCATAGTGCCCCAGAACCCGAGCTCTGAAAATCTCCCATGCTTAAAAGAAAAGATCGGCCGAGCACTTTGACTGTGGTGCAGGCATTGAGTGGCTCAAGGTCAAAGAACGTGCAAAGCCATTCTACTCCCTTTCCCGTCACCCCAAAGCCAAAGCCTATATCTGACAATGTACAAAAACAGATCAAGCAGAAGAGAAAGCGGGAAGAAGTAGAAAGTGAAAGTGTCGCCAAGCCTTCTGGGAGTGGGTTGAAACTCCGAAAACGTGGATGTGTTTCAATGCACCGCGTTGTGAAACGTAAGATAAATGGACAGAAACCAATGGTTTTGTTTAATGATAAGGGACAACCGTATGGTGTGGCTGCTGCAGAGATGCAATCTTATATTGTAGTTTTGGCCAGGACAAAAGCTCCAATATGGTTTGACACTTGGAGGCAAGTTCCGGTAACCATCAAGAACAAGATTTGGAAATCTGTCATGGTAAATATAACCATACTAACACTTGACTAGTCCTTACAAAATAAATAACTTGATCATTAATTATATACCTGTGTTTTCCAACTGACTTAGACTAGTAAATTCCTCCCATGTTTATGCATATAGTTGGGGTTCGACCTACCCCCTTCTGCACAAAAACTTGTGTTGCAGTCGGCGAATTCGAAGTGGAAACAATTCAAGAGTACCCTGACATGTAAATATATTCTTCCCTTTCGAGATGAACCTGAGAGGCTGAGGACTCCACCAGAGGACTTCTCTTTCTTGGAGAAGAATCATTGGGATATTTTTGTTGCTGATCGTCTAAGCCCCGAGTTCTTGGTAAGACTATGTTTCCATTGTACTTTATTTATAATACTACCTTTTTGATGAACTGTCCTTTTTTTGCAGAAAGTCCATGATGAGCATGTGAAGAGAGTTAAGGAAAACAAATATCCTCATCGCTTGTCCCGAAAAGGCTATGCAAACCTAGAACAGGAATGGGCTAGTACTCACTAATATATGCGGAGTTCTGTGTTAGGAGTATTCCTCTTCTACATGTACATTTTGACTATGATACATTACTCACTAAATGAACATGCAGGCAAAAACACACAGTGGAGATGAGTCAGTCATTGATCGATCTGTTACGTGGGTCCTTGCAAGGAAGGACAAAGAAGGAAATTTCAAGAGTGACTCTACAAAACAGAAGGCGGAGGAAATTGTAAGTTTTTAAATAATTTCTGAAAATTAGTAAGTTCTTGCACATAATGTTGCTGT